CAGCCATATGTGTGTAATGTGCTATTTGCCTCACTTGTATGTCACTTTGGACGAAAGCGCCCATTAAATAAATATAAATGTGTCACTTTAGCTCTTTTATGGTCCAATTCATGAACTCTGACAGGAGTATTCAAAGCCTTATTTCATCTTCACTATGGGTAAAACATAAGGAAATATATTGTTCCTTCATATTCTCCTGTCAGAGTTCATGAATGCATTACGTTCTAACCAGGCAAAAATATTTCCCATTAGTTTTAATTATATTTAAAAACTTTAGTAATACATATCAAGAGAATTTTTTTTCTTTTTTAAATTTTTTCTATTACTCTTTTCTATAATAAACTAATACTTTGGTACACTTGGCACTCCTACAAACCTGAGCGTGTATAATTTATCTTTCGATATTCCATTCATACCCATGTCATTGTGACTGTCAGTGAAAGAGGGCCTCCTATTGCCCTTTCCATAGAATACAGCCGTGGGCAAAAGTTTTGAGAATGATACAAATATTAATTTTCACAAAGTCCTTTGCCTTTGTCCTGGGTATGACGTAAATCTGCATCCGGCCCTGCAAGCGGCCCTCCAACTTATAGGGAAACAATTTTTGTGGATTGGTTTGAGGCGACCCATCTGGGTAGGTGCGTGGAATGTCTTGTCTGTCCAGCAAGATGACCATGTTCCTCTGCTGTCCGGGAGAGCTTTGTAAATCTCAAAACAATCTCTGAGGTACACTGACCGGGGAGTGGCCAGATCTGTGTAGGTGGGCATACCTACTTTTGGTCTGGTCAGTCTGATTGCTACCATACTCAGGGAGTAGCTGTTGCTGTAGCGGATTAGCTACTTCCAATGTTGTCTGATGTCACTCCTTTCAACGTACGTCTTATGAGACTCAGGCTAAGACACTCTTTGGGTGTCTTGTCTATTGTATCAGTGTATGCTCCGACCACGGTGAGTGATCTCAATGAGGGAGACATTTTACTCACAACTTCGCTCGCTGGTTGAAGGGTGCCCACGAGGTGACACTCCTCTAGTCATGGGTGACTTCAATGCGACTATTGGCACTGACTCAGCTACTAGGAGAAGAGGCTGGATTTAGCCAGCCTTCAAGATCAGGCTGTTTCTGATGAGTTTGCGCTCAGTTTGTGTGAGGGACTTGCAGACTTGGGTGCGACTGCTGACTCTAATGTGCTGTGGGTGAGCTTCCATGATAAGACCTTGAAGGTTGCTGAGAGTTGTGTTGGTGTTGCCAGTGTTCCCAGAAGGAGGTGTTTCATCTCGCAGGGCGACCGGAGCAATCTGGCTTTACACCTAAGAAGTCTATCATCGACTGTATCCTTGCACTGAGGGTTGTCATGGAGCACAAGCACGAATGTCGGCAAAGGTTCTTTGCAGCCTTTGTCAATGATCGAGTTGCCCTGTGAGACATCCTGAAACTTCGCAGGATCCCGCTGAAGTTGCTGGACATCATGGCCGACCTGTACACTGGTACTGTGAGTGCTGTACAGAGTGGAGGGAGAACCTCTGCATTCTTCTCAGTTGATTCTGGGGTTCACCAGGGGTGCGTTCTTGCTCCTACTCTGTTCAATGGTTGTATGGACTGAGTGTTGGGCATGGTCATGGGGTCCAACCGCTGTGGGGCATCCGTTAGTGAAGAAAGATTTACTGATCTTGACTTTTGCCGACAATGTGGTGATCTGAAAGGAGTCAATAGAGTCTCTGATTGGGGCTCTTGAGAGACTGAGCGAGGAGTCTGAGTGTCTGGGTAAAGGTGTCCTGGATAAAGATTTATTAACTTCTTAGGCACAGGCATCAGTAGTGTGTGTCTGCGGGGAGAATGTCGACCTTGTTGAGTGAGTCTCTGGTGACACTATGAAGTAAGCAGACGGATTGGAAGAGCATGGGAGATCATGAGGTCGCTGGAAATGGGCGTGTGGTGCTCCCAATTAGAGCCCTGCATTGGGAGCGGGATCCCGCGGGTCCCGCGCGACCCAACGCAAATCTCACGGGATTGGGCGGGTTTTAGATTGTCGTGGGCGGGAGTGACAGAGATAGCGGGCGGGATAAAAATAGACAGCGGGTCCCAAAATTGTTAGCTTAGCAGGATGGAGGATGCAGCTGATGTTGTTAATAAAATTGCAAAGGGAGAATATAAAACAAAACTAAAATTGGGGAAATCGGAGATATGGAAAAACTTTAAAATTGTAACAAACAAAGAGGGTAAATAGCTGAACTTTGTGTGTTGTGTGAAGTGCGGCAAAGCGATAGTGTACAACGGGCACAAATCTGGCACTTCGGGACTGAGGCGACACACCTTCCCCGTTGCTGTACTCCCAGGTAGAGCCCTGCATTGGGAGCGGGATCCCGCGGATCCCGCGCGACCCAACGCAAATCTCACGGGATTGGGCGGGTTTTAGATTGTCGTGGGCGGGAGCGGGCGGGAGTGACAGAGACAGCGGGTGGGATTGGGCGGGAATCATCAGAAATTCAGCGGGAGTGGGCGGTAATGGTCAGAAATTCAGCGGGAGTGGGCAGGAGCGGGATTAAAAAAATAGTCCCGCGCAGGGCTCTACTCCCAATATCTTTGCAAGAGGACGAAGGCCCAAGGCTTTAGATTCCTGGTGCTCCCTGTCTTGCTGTATGGCTGTGAGACATGGATGCTATCCAGTGAGCTGAGACGAAGACTGGACTCCTTCAGTACTGAGTCTCTTTGAAGAATCCTTGGGTACCGCTGGATTGACTTTGTGTCAAATGAGAAGTCGCTAGAGGAGTCCCCAATGAGGCACATTACCGGCATTGTGAAGGAGCGTCAGTTACGGCACTATGGCCATGTGGGACGTTTCCCTGAGCGTGATCCGGCTCGCAGGATTCTCATTGCTGAGGACCCAAGTGGCTGGACCAGGCCAAGGGGACACCCATGTAAGAACTGGCTGCAGCAGATGGATGGCCATTTCCGGAAGGTGATACTGGACCGTGTCTCTGCCTGGGGGATCGCTGGCCGGGATCCTGAGGAGTTTTGCCATGTGGTGGGTGTGGCAACACGCTGCATCAGCGCATGCTCCCCAACCTGAGCTGACCTGCTGCCTCCGTTTTTATGATGGCAATTTGCATATACTCCAGAATGTTATGAAGAGTGATCAGATGAATTTCCATTAATTGGCAAAAAACCCATTTCTACTGCATTTCAGGCCTGCCACAAAAGGACCTACTGACATCATTTCAGTGATTCTCTCATTAAAAAAGGTGAGTGTTGACGAGGACAAGGCTGATTACTCTGGCATACTGATTGAGTTAGAATAGCAGACTGGGTGCTTTAAAAGGATGGTGGTGCTTGAAATCATTGTTCTTCCTGTTAATCATGGTTACCTGCAAGGAAACACTTGCAATCATCAATGCTTTGTACAAAAAGGGCTTTACAGGTAAGGATATCGCTGCTAGTAAGATTGCACCTAAATCAACCATTTATCGGATAATCAAAAACTTCAAGTAGAGAGGTTCAGTTGTTGTGAAGAAGGCTTCAAGGTGCCTTCATTCAATTCAGCGGCGGGATCATGGCACCACCAGTGCAAAGCTTGCACAGGAATGGCAGCAGGCAGGCGTAAGTGCATCTGCACACAGTGAGGCAAAGCCTTTCCAAGAATGGCCTGGTGTCAAGAAGGGCAGCAAAGAAGTCACTTCTTTCCAAGAAGAAAAGACTCATTCCAGGTTAAAGACTCATTCTGCAAAAGGCACAGGGATTGGACTGCTCAGGACTAGTCATTTTCTCTGATGAATCCCCTTCGAAATTGTTTTGGGCATCCGGAAAAGAGATTGTCCGGAGAAGAAAATGTGAGCGCTACTATCAGTCCTGTGTCATGTCAACAGTAAAGCATTCTGAGACCATTCATGTGCGGGTTGTTTCTCAGCTCACTCACCATTTTGCCTTCCCATTGAGAACTTGTGGTCAATCCTTAAGTGGTGGGTGGACAAACAAAAACCCTCAAATTCTGATACAATGATTTGCCATAAGTCAGGATTTGCCCAGAAGTTGATTGACAGTATGTCAGGGCAAATCGCACAGATCTTGAAAAAGAGCAGCAAACACTGCAAATACTGACTCTTTGCATAAACTTAGTGTAATTCTCAATAACAGCCTGACACTTATGAAATGGTTGTAATCTGGAACATCTGGGGAAAAAAATCTAAACACTGAAGCAGCATACTTGTCATTCGCAAAAGGTTTGGCTACGACTGTATAGCTGTTTGTACTGAACATTAGAAATATGGCAAATTGATTTTATCCATGAATACTAGTGTATTAATATTAACCTTTCCAAATAGCTGCAACCAAAGAATTGTCACCATCTATGAAAAACAGGAAAATACACTAATGCACTTCCATTGTAGTAGAGGCACCACATGGTTCCATTCATATTTTGTTTACTGTAAAATTGTATTAGCAAAAACGTATAGAAATCGGAATAGCAGTACAGTCTGAGGGAGATGCTGGTACTTGGCTATTTTAAGGTCTGTCCTCAACACTTCAATATCTGAACACAAGAAATTTAAGTGAAATATGTTGCCATATGGCAAGTGTACCGAGAGCCTCTTGATGGAGATGGGTGAATGCCGTAAAATGTTCCCGAAAAAGCACAGAACACTAGATGGCGCAAGACTAATTGACATGAGACGCAACTGCTGAAATACAGCCAATTCAACAGCAAATCTAAAACAAGAGGGCAAACTCAATTTTATATGGAGAAACTCAATCTTAACCTCAGGCAAACCTCGTAACCCAGACTTTTTGGAGGAATAATGAATTTTGCGGTCACACCACATCTTAAAACTGACTTGCTGATGAATGCCCTTTGTAGTAAATGGAGAAACTGTTCAATACAGAGCTTCCCTCCAGAGAGATCACTCCTATGCAACAGTGACTCCTAATGTCCATAAGCTGTACTGCGCTATTAAGACCAGCTCTGACAGGGAGAATTCACCCTTCAAACAGGACAAAAGGGAACACAGACTCTAAACGCCCAAGACAGCTGGGCCACTTTAATCTTCCACTCATTACAATATGCTTTGCACATTTAACAGTAAAACTTCTGCATTTACAGTGAAACTAAAAACGTACATAAGGAAACACTTTTTACAAAAGGTAAAATGAAATATTACAAATTGTAGCAGGTACAATTTATCGAAACCAACAGAGCATGTTGATTTGTGAGTTGTCACATTCCATTTTACTTTGAAAAAAGGGAAAAGGGAGGAAAAAATGACCTCCTCATGAAGAACATGGATGACAGGGATATGAATACTCATCTGTCTTTAGCTATAGGTTAGGAGAGTAAGGACAGTGGCTAAGATGCCCGTTACATTAATATCAATGCTTTCTGGAATGTCCGAGGCTCCAAAAGCACACTGAGAAATTAAGGAAAAGTCCATTTGGGAAAAAAAAACAAAAAAAAAAAACAAATCAGTCATCAAATTTAATCTTCTTCCCTTGGGGCTTTGCACCAAATCCACCACCTCTACCTCCTGTAAAACAGAAGATGCATCAACTTTAGACTGACAACGCAAACTGAAATAGGCATCAAAGGCAGAAAGTCTTTGGTGCCATACTGACATTCTGCGATGAGGTAGAATTGACACCTTACCTCCAAATCCACCTCTACCGCGGTTGCCTCCTCTTCCTCCACGGAAACCACCACCACCTCGGCCAAACCCGCCACGTCCACCTCTGCCTCCTCCACCGCGGCCACCAAAGCCTCCACCGAATCCGCCACCGAAACCACCACCGAATCCGCCACCCCTGCCACCCCTGTGCCCGGCGTCACCCTTTGGCCTTGCGTAGTCCAGGGTGACTTTGTTGCCATCAATCTCACAGTCCTCCATGGCTTCCTTTGCCGCCTTACAGTCCTGTTCGTTGTCAAAGTCTACAAAGCCAAACCTGAGGAAGAAACATCGCATTACATATAGGATCAATCCACCAACCAACCAAATCGGCATTGAATTTCTGTTCGTGTTTCATAAAAGATGTTGCTAGTGCCATCAAAACAAGCAAGCAACTACCTCTCACACTGGTTATCTACTTCTCGTGCGAATCCGTACACCGCCATCATGGAGACGGAGAGGAGCTCATGAGAAGACCTGCAAGTCAACCCACTGGGTGGTAACCGGCAAGTGAAATTACACGTACCCTTTAGATGACCCAGTTTCCCTGTCTGTGACAATTCTGGCTGCAATGGCACCTTCAAAGGAGTCTCTCAGAGTCTGGTCAGTGGTGTCCTCTGAAAGACCTTTGACAAATAGGGTCTTTGTGGGCCCTTAGGACAGAAAGTGAACAATCACAACAAAATCAAACAGACAAACCGGCAGACAAACCAATGATCACCTGGGCACAAGACATACCTGAATTTCCTCTGCCACCTTCAGACTTATGTCCACTGTTCTGGCTGTACTCCAGTCGGATTGTCCTGCCCTCTATCTCAGTGTTATTCATCGCTTCCAGGGCTTCCTTTGCATCTTCGGCACTCTCGAACTCCAAAAACGCAAAACTGAAACAAATACTTTGTTGAAGCCTCTCAAAATATTCATTAAAAAGCAAGCCACATTAATGCAGGTTACATGGTCAAACCCAACATCTGCCACAGTCCCAAGGTTTGGACTCCAGTCTATTTTACAACTAATGAACACATTTGTAATAGGTATTATTGAACAGTCAACTAATTACATAATCAGACCAGATAACAGAAACCTAATCCACAGACCAAAACCATCATCAGCAGTCATCATTTTACTCACCCCTTTGGCCTGCCGTTGTTTTGCGGCACTCTGATCGACACTGCCTTCTCAAACGTGCTCTGCAGTGTATCTTCTGTTACACTGTAGGCCAAGTTGTTCACCACAAGAGTCTTGGCTGGGACAGCTGTGGAGGAAAGCAAGTATGAACATACCTCAAAACTGGCAACAAAAGCAATTTCCTTCTCAACTGCCGACTGTATGATGGCAATGTCCAGCTGGGCTCACATCCTACAGACTAAATTTACTGCATAAACAATCTGGTGAAAGAAAATGTAAAACCTTGCAGCATGCAAGACATTAATATTCGTATGCCTCGCTACGCTGTTGCTCCGTAGGTCTGAAGATGCTCTGCATACCTGGAGCCTTGCCTCCTTTCTGACTCTTCTGTCCTGTGAAATCGACAATGATACACCGACCCTGGACATCTGCACCCTGGGCCTCTTCCAGCATTTTCTCAGCGATGGCTTCAGTTTTAAATTCTATGTAGGCAATTCTGTCATGGAGAACAACATTTAAGGTTGAGTGAATGAACAACCCTTCAAAATGGTTTCAGGCTGGCAACTGAGAAACCTTGCAATAGTTAATTTAATCATAGCAAACTCAAAAATATCACTTTAGGCTAACTCACCCTCTGTTGGAACCATTATTTCCAGGAGGTATCCGGATATCTACAGCCTGGTCAAAGACTTCTTTCAAGTCTTCCTGTGTTGCAGAGAATGGGAGGTTCTTCACAAATAATGTGCGCGAATCTCTTTCTGTGGATGGGAGGAGGCAGGAGCCAAATTAGTACCTCAGAAAAGCACCAGACTCAACCTGAACTGCACTTTAGTTTGCACAGCAGGGGTGTCACCAAAGTGTTTTACCTTTCTTGCCTTCTGCAGAATTTTCTTTGCTTCTGGCTCTGTCCAGTTTTAACTCATGGCCCATGAACTTCTTTCCATTGAGTTGAAGAGCTTTCTGCAGATCCTCCTCAGAAGCAAAATCCACATAGCCAAATTTCCTGAGTTGAAAGTAAAATAAATGCAAATACACAACCAGAGCAGTAAGTTCCAGCATTCCCGTCACAGCCTACAAGCATGAGAAGGATAAGGATGCAGTTCTGCAATCAAAGTCTGCCAAGACCCTCACAACAGACACCGCCACGAATCCCCATTAAAAAGAGGCTGATCCTCAGAAAGTATACGTTTATGCTATAAGAAGCTACAACGTAGTCAAGGACTCACTTGGACGCTCCAAGCCTGACTTGCTGAACTTCAAGCTTTTTCTTAGAGAAGAAATTGCCCAGTGCTTCCTTGATTTCATCGAAGTCTTTATCCATGCTCAGATTCCCAACAAAGAGACAGAAGCCTGCCAAAACAAGCAAGAGGGCTCAACATAAAACAATGCACACAACATGAAATAGGTTAGGTTAAAAGTGAACACCAGAAGTTTTTGGCACTAGAGTGTTCAGATTTTGTGGCCACCTCACCTTCACCCTCCGATTTGGCTTTCTTGGCAGGAGGAGTGTCCTTTTTAGACTCAGCCTTTCTCTTTGCTGGGGTCACCACATGCTCTAAACATACAAGCCATCTTTAGTTTCCCCTCCAGAGAGACAGCCAATGCATAAGAGAAACAGTCATTTTGAAACATCTCACCAGCTTCTTCATCGTCCTCTTCGTCATCATCGTCCTCTTCGTCATCATCCTCCTCATCTGACTCTTCCTTGGTCTTGCCCATTCCAGCTTTCTTGGTCTTGCTGGCAGAAGCAGGAGTGGTATCCATCTCTTCTTCAGATTCTACAAAGCAGAAGTGCGCTTGTTTGCCTCACTGTGGTACATTACAGCCGCCACAACATAGGTTGTTTTAAGGCACATCAGATGCATATAAATCATCAAATCTTCAGGATTAAGTCCCTTTCTGATCATCACGGTGCCAAGTGCAATCTGGGAATGCTGACTAGACCAATTCAAAGGAGAAAGCTTTACCATCTTCATCATCCTCCTCCTCCTCAGACTCTTCCTTGGCAGGAGCAGGTGCTGCTTTGGCTGGGGTGGCTTTTGCGGGGGCCTTGGCTGGAGTAGCTTTCTTAGGAGGTGGAGCTTCTTCCTCTGATTCTTCAGAAATATAGACAACATACAACCAGAAATTAGCAATAATTCATTACTGAGATGGCCAAGAATGAGATGAGAAAATTTGCCCAAGTTATTTAATCAATGCCAATACCATCATCTTCATCTTCATCATCATCGTCTTCATCATCAGACTCTTCCTCGGCAGGAACTGGGGCTGCTTTTGCTGGGGTGGCTTTTGCGGGGGCCTTGGCAGGAGTAGCTTTCTTAGGAGGTGGAGCTTCTTCCTCAGATTCTTCAGAAACCAAGACAACACAATCAACCAAACACAGTTGTGGTAGACTAAGAATTAACATAACCAAAAGAATCTAACCCATGGAAATATAAACCCAAGTTATTTAAGTTAATACCATCATCATCGTCCTCTTCATCAGATTCTTCGGCTTTAGGTGGAGCTGCTTTTTTTGGTGGAGCCGTCTTTGCTGGGGTGGCTTTGCCTTTCTTGGGTGGAGGAGGGGGCTCTTCCTCAGATTCATCTTCTGTGATACAACAAGTGTTACTTAACAAAATGCACACGAGTCACAAAGCAAAACAGGTTGGGGTCAATTTTCACAAACCGGAGTCATCCTCTTCACTCTCTTCTTTTTTGGCCACTTTTCCATTTTTAGTTCCCTTGGCTGGAGTTTTCTTGGAAACTATTTTTGGTGGTGGAGTCTGAGAAAAGAAAAAATTCCTTTTGTCTTTACCATAATGTTCATACCCAGTGGTAAAAAACATCCCTACTTTGTGCTGCTCTGCCAAAGTAATCAACGTCACATAAGTGACTTTAAATAAGACATCCCTCAAACCGTGATGCACAGAAATTACAGTTAAAACGACTATACAAGAATTAAGTTCCTTACCTCTTCCTCTTCACTGACATCTTCACTCTCATCCTCCTCCTCCTCCACTTTTTTAGGAGGTGGTTTCTTCTTGGGGGGTCTCTGCTTTTTCTCTGTCTGTAGAAGGCAAACGAAATATTCGCTTTATACATTTGGTTAATCGATAAAAAGGAGCTATCGAAATATTCCCCAAAATCTCGCACATAAATGAGAAATGCGCCGACCCAGCGCCATGTGACCGAACGCGTTAGCGAACGGTGCGCGCTGAAGCAGAGAGACCACGTGTGGCCGTACCTACATGCGACGGAAACCCACGTGGTGCACTTACAGTGGCTGCCCAGTCAAGGCCTACCTGTGTGGGCCTCGTTAAAATGCGTTCCCAGCACCAAAAATCTAGACCACTTCACTTACATAATGTAACGGGACCAAAAATTTATCTCGGGCGGTTTAATAGTCGACTGGTACGACTAGGCCTACAAGCCTCAGAGGACGGAAGTGAAACTTTCAGTCAATTGCGGAGCCAGTCGGGGTCGCTAATCTACTACAAACGTGTCGTTTTCTCAAATACATCTTACCTCAGTAAACACTTTGCAGGTTGTAACTATACAACGGAAAATCCAAGCATAGCGCCGAACGAGTCTTCCGCAAACGCACTTATATGGCCATTTTGAAAATGCGATTTTGCTAGCTAGCGCAAAGAGGGAGCTAACATGGCCGAAAAATGGGTCGACTGAAAATGTAGCTAACTACTGAAGGCCGACTTCGGGTAGTGAGCAGTACACTCAACTCAAAAGCCGCTTACATACAATTAACGGAAAATAAGAAAAAAATAAATCACAAATCACTGCACAAAAATTGCCTAGCTAGATAAATGCCAATAAATACCATACGCCGTTTTAAAATAACCAACAAATGCTAACATATAGGAACTTATTTTACGACCTAGCAGGAACACCACAACCTCAACTGCGTTTTATGTTCAAAATAAGGTGAAAGTTAGCACTTACCTTTGCCAGCTTTACCATGGTTATTGAAAAGATATTGAATATGCGTCCACAAAGTAGTATGAAAGGAAGACGCTTAGCAACCTACACGTGGGCCTGACTGCTTCAAGGGGCGCTCTAAGAAGAAAGACTGCTTTGCAGCCACACGATCGTCTTACTTCCCTCGCCTGCGTGTTCAGTGACTCTCCACCTACGCGCATCCGCGGTCCAATCACAGTACGATAATTTGCATAATACCCCCGCGTTCGCTCTGCATGTATTGCAGGGAAAAGGAGGAGCCCGTCGGTTTGCATTGCGTACCTCACTTCGCCCGCACGCCCCTTCTAGCCAATAACACGAGGTCTATTTGCATAAAGGCTACTCGCAGGAAAGGAGCAAATTAGGTTTTTGAATGATACCTTAATATTAAATATTTGAATGATAACAATATTTGTGCTTTCTGGTGTTAAATGTATTTTTTTTCCTAGTTCAGGTTGTGACTTGACTCAAGTTTCGACAGTATGCATTCTGGCAGATTAAGACGGCATCTTGTTGATGTTTATGGACAAAGTTGCATTCTTACTGCAATGAAAACTGTAAACTAGTAATTACTAGTAATGATTGACTTATAAAAATGACAGCGAGTAATTAAGAGATTACCGTTGCCCTCTAAACGTTTGTTGAAATTAAACCTGAAGCTGCGGGTGGTCCCCAGGCATTTGTGCAACCACGTGGTCGGTTATACACGTGCGAAAAGCATGGGGTGACTCCATTTAATATAACCACGCGTTCGCTGGTTCTTGATCACGACGAGTTCTTACGGTAAATTATATGCTTAAACGTAACAGTTCAGCTGTCTTTTTTAACTTGTGAAATACCTAGGTTTGTTTTGAAGACGAGTAAGTGATTTAGTGAAGATAGCACACAAATACTGTTAAGAATGCTTTTGTAACACACACAAAAGCCCACAGACAGCACCCTCCCACTACTGTCAATAGTACCCCTGTTTTCAGAACGCTTATGTTTTTGAGAAACTGGGCCTATTCGGTAGAACCTTGAGTTTTCGGAGCTGTGCAAAGCAAGTCTGTGCCTCTACAGCATGTGGTTCAACCTACTACAGATCTTCTCTCTTCCTACTCATAGTTTTCAATTTTCCATATCTCATGTGTTGCTCATAACCTGGAAAATAGCCTGAGAATAGCTAGATTTAAGAAATAGGCCAGGGGAAGAGTTAATGTCTTAAGAGTTAAGGTCCCTTATAACCATTAATAGTGTGTCTTTTGTATTGGCTTCAAACCAGTGCCAGTTGGTGGTAGTTTATCGCATTTAATTGAATCCAAGTGTCAAGAAACCACCAGTGCTTCTATCCATTGTCCACTATTCCATACTCCAACTGCACGCTGTGTAACGAAGTGCTTCCTCAAATTCATTTTAAAATGTTCTCCTGCTAATTTCCACTTATGGAAATTTAAACTAATATTGAAATAGCCATTTGGCTGAACAGCATCCAGACCTGTTAGAATCTTATATACCTGGACGCAGAGAGACAGACGGGAGGACACACCGGGCGTCTTCCGGGAGGCCGTCTCGATCTCTGCTGCCTCCCCTGCACCGAGTTGGGAGGAGCCCTCCCGAATCTCAATCCGGCGGTCCCCCCCCAGGGTTCCCCGCCACTTCGCAGCAGACGCTTCGCAGCAGACGCTGGCAGCTCGTCCCTTCCTGGGGACGCGCCTGGCCTTAAAGGAGGCCAGGTCTGTTGAGGACGCCATCCCGTGGATCCCCAAGTTCTTCCAAAGGAAAGGGTCCGCACCAGCCCCCGTGGTTCTTGTGCCAGCAGTTCCTGCTCCGCCCCCCCGTGGTTCCGGTGCTGGCGGTTCCTGTTCTGCCCCCTGTGGCTCCGGCGCCCGTGGAGCCTTTGCTTCAAGGTGGCCCAGCTCAGCCCTCTCTGCCTCCGGCTGTCTCAGCCATGCCTATTCCTGAGTGGACATCTTACTGGGCCTCCTATGATGGCAAGGAGGACCTGCTGGAGCTTCCCCTCCAGGGGCAGTTCCCCGATCCGGCCTGGTGTGCTCTCTGGGGCAGGTGCCAGAACCTGCTCCGAAGAATGAGAGACAGGAGCAGACCGGCATTGGAGGAGGCCCTTGAGCAGCTGGAGGACTTCCTGCGAGAGCTGGCTCATGGAGCAGAGGTGGGAGATTTGGTGGAGGGCTACCTTCTTGACGCAGAGAGAGAGCTCAGGGTGCTGCTGCTCGACCCCAAGGCTCCAAGGGGCCCAGAGGAGCTCCCCCCGCCTCCCCAGGTTCCCTGCCTGCAGCCAGAGGCATTGGGGCTCCCTCCATTTTCCACGGACCCAGGAGAGGCAGCCGTGGTACCTAATATCGCCCGGCTGCTCGTGATCTAGGTGGTCTCTCTGCTGCCCGATCCCTGGCACCGCTGATCAGCACCAAGTCCCCTGAGGTACCTGCCGAACTCTGCCCTCCATGGCCCTCTGTGAGTTCCCGCCACAGGAGACAGAGACTGAGGCCCAGCCAAGGGGATGCCGCCCCAACCCGCCCCGCAAATAAAGTGACAAATTCTTTACCCGCCCCAACCCGACCCACGGCTTACCCGCGGGGTCCGCGGGTTACGAGACGACCCGCGCATTACTACAGTGCTGTTGTCTCCTGCTGCAACTATTTCTGAGAACCGGTCCCAAACATTAGATTTAGCAGCCTGACCTTTTTTTCTTTTAATGATGTAAATTCCCGACCTCAATTTCTCCCGCACCTCGTCTTCCATCTTCACTTTTATTTCTTTGTTTTTGTTGTGACTGGCAGCGGTAGCTGCTTGGCGCTTTCGTGACTTGTCACGTGATGTAACCTTATCAAAGAACTTTGAAAATATGAAAATAGATATTCCCAAATATTTAATATAGGCTATAGGGAATTGCACGCAACATACATGGATTTTTTATTTAATTTTGTTTTTAATGACCCGCCGCCAACCCGCCCCGCAAATAAAGTGACAATTTCTTTACCCGCCCCAACCCGACCCGCGGGTTACCCGCGGGGTCCGCGGGTTACGAGACGACCCGCGCATCACTATTGGAGATCCCTCTCTTCCCCAAAGTACCTGCCCAGTTTAGCCTGAAAGCTGCTTGCCCCCTGATGCACGCCTGCCTAGCTCAGCCAGCCTGCGTGAGGTCTCTACCCTCCTGCTAGCGCCCTACGTTGCAGGCTCCCAAAGGCTCCAGTTCTGCCCTGCTCGGCGCCTGCGGCCCCTGCTCCGGCGCCTGCCTGCGGCCTCCGCCTTGCCGGCCCTTGCTCTGTTGCGTTCGCCCGCAGCCTCCTTCTTGCTGGCCCCTGCTCCGGCGCGCCAGCCCTAAACCCACAGTCCCGCCGATGTCCCCTCACCCTGCTGCCTCAGCACCGTCACCTGACCCTGCAGTCCCGATGGCACTTCCCTGCACCAGTCCCAGAATACCTCTTTGACTGCCTCACTGGCCGCCCACAGGGTCTGGCTGGGTCCTGGTGGTTCCCCGTATTTCAGGGAAGGCTACTCCCTGGGGCCATGGTCATCCGAGACCCATCGACCCCCTAGCCCAGGAGTTGGCAACCTGCGGCTCACGAGCCACATGCGGCTCTTTGACCACCAGACTGCAGCTCTTCTCAGAACAATAGCCACATTCACATTTTCATGTCTTAACATAATTATGATACTTTCGTAAAGATTGATTATTTATTTATGGGTTATTTTTCATTTAGATATTTCTTTAGCTATATGTGAATGAGGCAGTTCATTGCACGCTTCTGTGATGTTTTAACAGCATCATTTACATCTCCCTCAAAGTCATTCTCTACGACAAGATTACGTCTCCGGTCAGATGGTATGCTGTACTGGAGATTGGATGTACGCTTCGACATTTATTGGGATTCCTAATTCTTTCATATAGTTTTTGTAGTAAATCACCATTCCTTCCCAGGTTTTCGTAAAAATTATTATATTTCCTCCGGTTTACATATTATAGCTAGCTGAGTTGTGACTGCATTTACGCTGCTTGTCAGCACAGCAGTAGTGAAGAGGAGAGTGAATGGCAGATGGCTGCAGAGTCAAAGGGGTGAGAGTGAAGGGCAGATGGCTACAGAGCCGAATGAAAGGCAGGCTGAGGGTGATGACTATCGCCACAGAACTGAACTATGTTGTAATATTAGTCACCTTTGCACTGTTACGTGTCTGAGTGATTTAAAACTGAGATGCCCCCTTGAAATTGGTTTTCTTTATTTTTTGTAAGTACTTGAACTTTTGTTTTTGTGTTAAATGCATATATGCCCATATCACATTAAAAAAATCGTATCTCAAACCCCCTTCTCTACCCATTGCGGCACATTGTAAATCTTGGTTCAGATATTTAGGAAAAAATGGCTCTTTGCTTTAAAAAGGTTGCCAACCCCTGCCCTAGCCCAATCTTCACCAGTCCTGTGTTCCCGTTTCTGCCCCAGTGTCCTGCCCTGCCTCTAGTTTCCCGTGGCCCATTTCAGCCCCTGATTCCTCCCGTACTGTCCCCGTTTTGCACCCTTCATCCTCCCCAGCCTTACCTCCTGCCCCAGAGCCTTAGCCCGCCTTGTCTGCTCCCCGGTTCATGGTTCCCCTTCGTCTGTCTCTCCCTAGCCCTGATGTCCCTCCATGTGTCCGCCCTGTGTACCTAAGTCTTAGTCTGTTATAGCAATCCATCTAAGTTTTGATTTCCGTTTCTTCTTCTACTTGTGTGAATGTATATTCAACTCGAATAACATAAAAAGTCCTGTAATTTCTTCTTGAGCAAGTTTAAAAACATAAATTAACTGGAAATGTTGTTCTGTAAAAACACTGTCTTGCTCCAATCTCGCATAAAACAGAGTCTAACAGTCCTTGCCGGAAATGACAGCAGCATCATTTTCGATATTTATATGAAACCTTAATTATTTAAGTAGAATTATTTATCAATTTCTTTATCAACAATTGCTTATCTCACATCAAAATAAATAAATAAGTAAAGAAATAGATAAGCTCTTACATTTATTTTTGAATTATCTTACATTTATTAATTATCTTCACCTGATGTGCAACTCTTAGCTGCTCTGAGATATTATGCAACAGGCAGTTTTCTTCAGGTACTTGGAGATGGACTTGGAATAAGTAAACCATCTGTGTCCAGAGCTGTACAAGCAGTCACCTAT